AGTCACTGTCTGTATCAATAAAGAAGTAGAATTTTTATCATATAAGCAGATAGGAAGTACAGCTGTTAACTGTGGATTACATGTCCTCTGGTTGGCTTAAAATATAGAAATATCTCAATGAGATCCTGCATAATCAAAGGCAAAATTTGTTTAAAATAAAGATGTTGCTAAGTGAGGTTGCTCCCATCTGAATAACCAACCCTGGATTCAGAGATGTGAGGATTGCATGTTGGATTCAAGGTTGGCAATTTAGGGAGATGCTGTCTCAAAATGAAAACTCCAGTGTAGATAAGTGGTAGAGCCCCTGCAACCAACGAGAGAATGGACTTGGTTCTACCATTGTCATTTTCATTTCCACAACAAATATAGGAAAAAAAGAAGAAAAAAAAATAAATAATAGGTTACTCAAAAATACTTTTTAAGAAGGAATATGATCCAAGAAGCAAGGCTCAAATTATAAGAAAATTCAATGTACCCAGTCTTACTGACAAAAAAGATTAGAACAATAGAAAACAGTTTTCAAAGGAAAGAAAATATCTCATTTGTTTAAAGTGCCAATTTGCCCTCAGTGAAAAGGACTGTAATAGAGGAAAATATGAAAGCAGACTTGGATCATAAATCCAGGACACTCAGTCTCAAGACCACGTGATCCATGCCTTCTTGGATTTTTAATAAAATTTTCATGACAGCAATAATTAGCAATCAATTAATGTTAAACAACCCTAAACCCAAATAAATTTAAAATGTAAAGACATATGATCATATAAATATTTTCAGAAACTCTACTTTTAAAATGTAATATCAATCCATGTGGAAATTTCTTCAGTCAAAACAAAATAAGAAGTGCCTCATTTTGATAAAGAATATTCACATGACAACTACAGAAACAGTATACCTTCTAATGAAACACCAAATAATTTTGAAATTATAATCAGGTATTATCGTCATTTTTTCATATTTGATCAATTATTATGCTATGAATTTTAAAATATATAGTTGACAATACAGGTATACCTTTAAACAAATGATAAGGAGAAGATTATATAAGTAGATAAATGTATCATTGTCAGAAGACATGATATCTTACAGATAAAATACATATCAATGCACAGATAAATGTTATATAACTGTTGAATGTGGCAAATACTTTAAATGCATGGATCTGATCACTGTGTTAAATACATGTGTTTTGAAAAATGACACTATTTTTAAAATATGTAAAATTATACACAATTATAAGAAAAAATTTCAGAGATCTTTATTAAACTATGTACACTCAGCTATACATTTTCTAGGATAATAGACTGGCAAGTAAACTATAATCAATGATTGACAATTTAAAAATTGAAGTGATTTTTTAAAAATATTGCAATACTTAATAAGTGTTGAACATATGTAAATGGTAAGTTTTATAAGACATGTTTCTTGGGCTAGTGTTATAGTAAGAATTTTTCAAGTTTTCTTTGGTAGAAAAAGGAAATCTTGGGGAAAACAAGTATCTCCTAATAGGTTAGAGTGAACCTATGACAAATGGGTATGTTCCCTATTCTCCACTGGTACATGGTGGACAAGACACAATGACAAGTTGAGTTTTTATATTTAATCTCATTAGGCCATTAAGTGAAGGCAATCAAGTGAACCATTGTATATATGAAAGCTTCAAGAAATCAAGCTACATTCATGGGTTATATTTTATCCACAGTAAAGTTATATGGCACTAAGAAGCAAGAATGTGTTCAAGGTTGTACTAATTTTCATCAATTTGGAAATTTTGAGCCAAATTCCTCACTCCTAACAGTACTCCTGACTGATGACATATAACTTTCTATTTCCATAAAAGGGAGATGACTTTCTCCCTACTTTATTTTTTTACTTATCCATGTTATTTGTTCATACTCATTAACTGCTACATATTACATTTTTTTCATCTAAAAATAGCTGATGACTGAATAATATTTGGATGTTACATCAGCATTCTTGTTTCACTGAAAGATCATGGGATAGATGGGATATAAAATAATTGAGATCTCTACATTTTTTTTTCACAAATGAAAATGAATCTAAAATCATTCTAGTCAATGTTTTAAAAATAATGAATAATTGATGCACAACTATGTTAACATGAATGGCAAAATTATGTCATGAATGTACATTTATAAAACATTTTACATTTTCTTGTGCTAGCACATAGAGAGAAAACATGATTTACAGTGCCAATCAGAATGGCAATTATCAAGAATACAAGGAACAATAAATATTGGTGAGGATATGGGGAAAAGGGAACACTCATATATTTCTGGTGGCACTGCAAATTGGTTTAACCCCTCTGGAAGTCAAAAAACTAGGAATAAAACCACCATCTGATCCAGTTATACCATTCCCATATATATATATATATATATATATATATATATATATAACAAGAAGTTAAAATCAGCATACTACAGTGACACAGCCACATCAATGTTTATAGCAGCTCAATTCACAATAGTTAAGCTATGGAACCAAAGAAGGTGCTCTTCAATAAATGAATGCATAAATAAAATGTGATGTATATATACGCAATTGAATATTACTATCCAAAAAAGAAAGACTTTATGTCAATTGCTGATAAATGGATGTATCTGGAGACTATCATGCTAAATGAAATAAGCCATTCCCCAAATACCAAAGGTCGAATGTCCTCTCTGACAGCAGGATGGTAGAGAGAATAGAAGTTAAGTGCATTAGACAAAGAGGAGTGAAAGGAAGAGAGGGGGGATACAGTGGAATGAATTTGAAATAACTTCCCTATGTTCATATATAAATACACCACAGTGAATCTCAACATTGTGTACATCCACAATACTGGGATCCTACCTATTTAGAATAAGATAAACTCATTGATTGTATAAATATGTCAAAATAAACTCTACTGTCATGTTTAGCTAAAAACAAAACAAAACAAAACAAAAAATAAATACATAAAATTCCAAATAAAATTCGACTCCTTCAAAATCTGACATTTTAAAGACAGATGTGATTTTTATTTTTGTTTGTCTCCCAAATGTTCAATGCTAAGAACTAAAGATTAAATAATTTTAGAGGTTTCATGTTTTATGATAAGCAGCTCTTAAAATACTAGTTTTATACTATGTGGTAAATTCTTATACAAATTATAATTTTTGAGAATAACCCACAAAAACTAATGTTTCACAAGATTTAAATTGAACTTAATATTGGCCTGAAAATGACATGGTAAAAAACAGTAAAATAGAAACCTTTGTTATAACATCTAAATCAAAGATTTGATTTAAGTCTTCTGATATTTGAAGCAAGATAATTTTTGCTATTGAAAGTACTAAAGAATAGAGCCAACAGACACTGGGATACTTCTTGGAGATTAACCATAGTTTCATATGCTGATTTGTTGTTGAACAACTGCACCAATAATCTCAGAAATAATTAGTATCTCTAACATGTTTGGATGTAACAATTGGGTTTTGGTAATCTTCCTGATGTCTTCTTCATACCTTGCTCCCAAGACTATCGAAGGTGGGAAGAGCATGGGTATGGCCACTCTTTGATAGACAGGTCACTTTGGCAATAAGCCATTGCATTTTAGAAGTAAGAACACAGCAAAGGAAAAGGACCATGCCAACAACATAGCAGTGGCAGTGAGATAGAAATTCATGTGCAGTAGGATTTGTAGCTCCCCCAGTTGAAGACATTTTCATGATCAAAATGAAACATGGGACAGACAGTAATCAAAAGCTTCCATATTTCATTAGAAAATTAGAGGCATAAGTGCTCTTCTAAATTATGTAGGGGACAGAGCAAGAGAAACATCAAGAGCACCATGCTCACAAAGTTGTATGTCAACATAGCCACACAAAAGACAAAGCCAATCAAAAGTACAGGGATATAAAGGAAGTGATGATAGCCCTAGAGCATGTCACAGTTATTAGAAAGGTCAGAGCTTTGGGTCATTGCAACTGTATGGAAAGGATGGTGAGAAACTGCCACAAACCACTCCTGACACATCATTGCTGATCTGAATATATCTGTCCCCCAGAGAATGCACACAAAGAATTGCTTAATGCATCTGTGAAGGAGATGATTTTTTTCCCTTCTACAAAATTTTTTTCTAACAATTTGTAAATAACTCAATTAGACTAACAGATATCAACAGAAGACCCTCAGAACAATGTTCATGGAAACACTTTCATTAAGAGATCGAAAAGAAAACAATGCCAGACCAAAATAAACAGTAGTACAAATAAACTAATTCTGGTAAATTCATTTGATGAAACACAATTCAGTTAAAAAATGAAGCGTAGTTACAATTTATGAAAAATTCCTCAAAAAGACACCAGATAAAATGGAATGTATAGTTTAAATGCATTTCAAATGCAGAAAAAAAGTAAAATGTTAACATTCAAAACCTATACATAGAGATTGGAGCTGGGAAGAAAAAAGTTATGAATTCCACGATCTTCAGGCAGAGCAGGCAGAGGGAGTGGGAAAGTGCTTACGTGGAAATCAAATAGTGTTGCTCATGTTCTTTCTTCACTTGGTTGGAGGAATAAACAGAGAATTATTATTAATAAAGCTCTTTGTATAAGGTTGCCACATTGGGAGACAGAATAAGAGAACACTAAAAAAAGGAAATGAAGGATTGGGAGGAGAATAAAATGAAGAGGAAGGGAAGGTTGAAATAAAAAGAAACATAATTAAGCTCTAAAATATAGACTATGGACCTCATAGAAGACCATTGTTTAACCTACTACATTCTAGTTGAGGCAAAATAAAACAGAATTTCCTTTCTCATTATTCCCCTTTGCTCATAGTGGTTATCAAAGTATAACTTGATTTAACAATCAGATATATTTAAATTATCTCACAAGTTCTCTAAACAATTGCATACCATTATTTGAAGAAACAATTAAAATCAATGCAATGTTTAATCCACATTATATTGAGGTTAGCAGGGAAATGTGTGTGGGGGGTGTGTGTCACTATCACGAGTGAGAAAGCACTTTTAAGTGCATTAACTTGCTCAAGGTCTCCTTGACATCTTTATTTCTTAGGCTGTAGATGAGAGGATTTAGCATAGGGATGACCATGCTGTAAAACACAGTGGCAAATTTGACAAGGAGCAAGGAGCTTTTAGATTTTAGCACACAGTAGAGAAGGAGGATGACCCCGTGGCAGAAGCAGATAGCAGCCAGGTGGGAGCCACAGGTGGAGAAAGCTTTTCTGAGGCCACCCTTTGCAGGGATCTTGATGACCGTAATGACTATGACAACATAGGAGGTGAGGATGATCAGCAGGCTACAAATCTCATTGAACATACAGATGACTAAACATGCCAACTGGCTGAGGGAGGAATCCGAGCAGGATGCAGAGATGATGGCGGAGTACTCACAGCAAAAGTGATTGATGATTCCAGATCCACAGTAAGATAGGGCCAAAAGAAAATATGTGAGTGTGGAGGAACAGATTCCACCCCATATGTAACTTCCAGCCACCAGCAGAGCACAGAGCTTTCGAGACATAGCAACTGTGTAGAGCAGGGGGTTACAAACAGCCACAAACCGGTCATAGGCCATCACTGCCAAAATAAACGTTTGTGTGATGACACATGTGCAGCCAAAGAAAAACTGTGTTATGCATCCTTTGAAGGACATACTTCTGTCCTCCACAACCAAGAAATGTAAAAGTTTGGGTGTAATTGTGGTGGTGTAGCAAAAATCAACAAAGGATAAATGGCTGAGGAAAAAGTACATGGGAGTGTGGAGTTTGGGGTTAATCCTGATGATCAGTATCATACCTAGGTTTTCCAGCACAGAAATGGTGTAGATAGTCAAGAATATCAGGAACAAGGGCACCTGGAGCTTTGGATATTCTGAGAAGCCCAGGAAGATGAAAGTGAAGACTGTACTCTGGTTCCCCTCATGCTGCATTTGGCTCCTGTTGGAGGAAATCCGAGAGTTCATCCCAAGAAGCTGAAAGAGCAGAGAGAAGGTGTTGTGAAAGGAAAGCAAAGGAACATATCTTAATTCATGGCAGCGGGACATTCTACCACAGAGATGGCTCAACCGTGCCTGCCAATAGGGATCCTAGGAACGTGTTTCACCAGGTATTCCTTGTTTATAATCCAGTCAGGCAGATATGCATTCCTGCAGCTTAATTGGTACTGAGAAGTTCAGTATGGATATTTTAGTGTTACTATTCTAGAAATACCCGATAGTCAAAGTTGCATAGAATCCCCTTTGGTCATCTGAAACCTTGATTTGTCTTCTCTGAAATCATTGACATTCAGTTTCTCAGTGATGTTGCTACCCTACCCTTTGAGCATCTGTAAAAGCTATATAATCTAAATTATTTTACATCTAAGGAAAAATGTTGAGCATTCTTTAATTTTGAAAACTTGAAAAATTTGAAAAATATGTGCAGTAACAAAAAAAACATATAAATTGTATACATAACATACAAACAAGAAAATGTATACAAAGGAAGAAATTCCAACTAACAAAAAGCAACTTTTGATGTTGGGTGTAAAATACTATGATATAAATGCATTTAGTAAGGATTGAAGTGTATATCAGAGTTTGGTTCACAAGCATAAATAATTCTAACATTTTCACACATGAAATCTGAGGCAATATTGATCTGTATTAAGCGACACTTTACAGACATTTTTACAATTATACAAAATCATGACTTTCTACATAATTTACCACAGCTAATTCACCTTACAAACAGTGCACCCATGTCCAGGTCATGGAGTCATTGTGTTGTTTCATTTTTAACTTTCTGTATTGTTCATGTGATTGAACAAATGGTTCTTTTCAAATATAGAAATGATATGCTTTATTTTTGGAATTCTTGCAAATTTGGAAGGCTGAGATATACATTATTTCTACCAGAAATCCTAGACTTTTAGACCAATCTATGTAATCAAAACATGATGTAAAACTTGAGTTTTACTTTTATGGGTGTGATATAATTAAGCAAGTCAAACAGATGAGGTCTGCGAAACAAGGTTGGGACCTACTTCAGGGTAGAAGGAAACACAAGGATCCTTCTGTTTTCACGTCTTCAGCAATATTTTTCCCCTCTGTGTATTAAAGTTTACATCACACAATAGATAATGTTTAGTTGTCAGAAAACCCTAAGCTGGTTTCTTGCATTGTCTGCAAAGGGGCAAATACAGCACAAACACACCACTTTTATATATTTATTCCCCTTGTGTGTTAAATACTGTCTGAATCTTCACATCTACCTGAATTATTTCCCCTTTCTTCAATAATGCTTCCTTTAATTGGCCCTATCATCTTGACATCTTTCTGTCAGATTACCAGTGCTATAAATACTAGGAATCATTTTGCTGATTGGACAAGCCTTATTAATAGATCATTTACATTTTTTCTTGAAAATATGTACAAACTTTGTAAAAATCTTAGACTTCAGATCAGAATACCCTGTGGAAATTCTGCCTCAGCGGCCTGTTTGTATGTGGCTCTGAGAAGCTATTCATGCTCTCTGCACCTCTTCTCTTATCTATAAAAATACAATGATCCTACAGGCATTAGATTATCATCATCATTATTACTGTAACTGCTTCATTTACATGATATAATTAAGTATATGGGATATCTTAATTTAGAAATTGATGTTAAAACATCCAGGACTGTGTTCTATATTGTAGGGAATCCACCTAGGACTCAGTTTCTTTTTTCTATTCTTTATAAAGTTGTCTTTTTAAATTTACTAGTAATTTTTAACGAATAAAGAAAAATCCTAGAACGCAGAGCCAGATATTGTTTTGGAAAGCTAGATATGGGCCAATAGGGAACAAGAAGTAGAAAAATTTTGGCAGAGATAGTAAAAGCAGTGTTCTTTGTTGATTTCATTCTAAGTACACCTTTAGTTTTACATACAAATTTATTCCAGGCTCTCAAACCTTGAGAATATTAGTCTCTTATTCAATTAATAAAAATAATGTCACAAACCAAAGAAAACAATAAACTAAGTTCTGGGCACATTCCCTAAATGTGGAACATAGACCTGGATGATGTTTTTACATTATTTTCCAATTAGAGATGCCCCATATACATAGTGATATCAGGTACATGTACCCGTGACAATAATAATAATAATAATAATAATAATAATAATAATAATAATAATACTTTAATGCACATGAGACTATTCTATTTGCATATTTAAGGAGAAGAGTTTTAGAGAGAACTAACAACTTCAGTCCTGCATATGAACAGGCATCTAAGGCAGAATTTCCACTTAGGTTGACCTGATACAAGGTCTAATCATTATTTTCTTTGTATTCCCTCTTCCCTGTCTTTCTCTGGCTCCCTCAGGCTCTCTTTTCATCTTGACTTCAGGCTGAGCAGCAAAACAACTTAGAGCCAAATGAAAGATCTTAAACTGTGCTCTCAACTTAATGCTTATTCCACTTATAATCAGCTAGGTAACAGGGGATCCTCAGGTGACCAGTTTACTCCTACCCTGCACAACTGAATTTAAGTCTTACAGTATTGTGGTGCTCAAATTCTTATACATTTACAAAATGAACTTTTCACAACATACCTGTAATCTATGAACTTCTGTGTGATGACCTATAATCTCTAATGTACCTTCATCCCTATAGGCTACTGCTGTTTCTTCTGTTCATTCAGCATTTTCAATCTCTCATGCATATATTATTTTATCATTCAATACATTCATCAAAATATCACTTCCAAATAGGACAACAGATTTCCCCTCAAATTCTAAGAACTATTACCTCCTACTACCAGATTCTAGGTACACTCTTCCAGAAAACTTCTGTGATAAATAGGGATTTTACACCAGATTTCACTCACCCATGTGACTTCAAAGTAAAAATTATATACAAGGCACATTGTATCTCTTTACAGTGTTAGAATTTATTTAAAATCTCCCTCTTAAAGATTTTTAAAAATTGAGAATGGATAATTTTCATAACATTAACATCTGCCAGAGTTATTAAACATTATTAAAGAACACAGATGAAGTTTAAAACAAGATCATGCCAAGGTCTTAAAGGTGTAGGAAAGAGAGTTCAATACCTGGTATTCTTATTCTCAGTTGATGGATATACACACGACGGTCACTAGGCTCAAAAGGTGTTCCTCTGACCAAAATAAATGTAATGTTTTAATATAATTTCCCCCACCCAAATCCTACTATAGTGTTTAGATTAAATAATTCAATAAAATCCAGATTTATTTATTGAAGTCTCATTTAGCAAATAATTAAAAAAAATATTTCTCAAATAAAGTAGCTGTTTTACAAATTATTTTAGTTGGTAATTAAGCAATGAGAATACTATTCAAAAAATATACCACTGAAGATACCAAGGATATAAAAATTATCTTATTATGAAAAACAAATCTGGGCATCACAGAATCTCTTCAGGAGAGTCAGACCCAGAAGTCAAATTCAGGCCTTGCGTTGAGTATTTTACCTGAAACTGACTGACCTTGGGGAATCATACCTTAGAGAATCTTCACCAGGTGTTTTCTCTAAGTATAAACAAGACAATTTGGAGAAAATCCCTTATTTCTAATTTAAACTATAATTAATTTAAATCACCAAATCATATTGGAAAGTTCAACATGTTGATACTCTGGTTATTAGAAAAATACAACCAATCTATAACAATAACTCCATATTTTATACAATTTGTAATTGATTATTCAAAATATGAACCTTTTGAAATTCACAAAAAAGAAAATCACATTCTGTTTTAGTACATATGAATTTTTGTTGGTTTTGGGGGGAGGTTGCTGATAAATTTTTTGGATAAATGAAATATGTTGTTGTTTGTCAGAAAAAAAATTTCAGCAATTCTAAAAGGACAATCATTAAAAATTTACATTAATGTTAGCATATTTGAAGGAACTCTATCAAATAAATGTTAATACAGAATGTGTAGAACAAAATTATCTTGAATACTGCAGGGAAGAATATGTTCTTGATTTCAAAGGGATAAATATGGTTTTAAATAATATTTAAAACATTAGACAAATTATATTATCTAAGTTAGAATTTAAACTTGCTCTCTGTCAATGTATATTAGTAACATAAAAAGTAAAGCATGATGTAAAAAAATTTCAAGGAACACAGCTGACAAAGGGATAATTTTCATAATGTATGTGAAATTTTTCAGTTATAAATAATAAAAATCACAAATAATTCAAAATGCTGACAAAGCATCATACATAGACATTTAGAAAAAATATCAATAAGTACATTAGAATGTGCCTTATCTCAATAAACACAAATATTTAAATTAAAGCTGCAATGAAATATTTACAAGAAATGGGTAAAAATAATGACTGATATTACTGAGTGTTGATGAGAAAATAGATAATAACTTTTTAACTTTTGAACAATACTGTTAAAAGTGTAAATTGATAGGAAAAATTTAAAATATTCAGCTGTAAATACGTGTGCAATTTCATTATAATGAGTATTTATGTGCTGTAAAACAGAATATATTTCCTAATTTGAAGCACGCCAAATGTCCTTCAATCTATATGGACTTACAAAAATTTCTGGAATATTCACTTGATGAAATATTAAATAATAACAAAAATTTTAAAATAATAAATGCATGCACCAAAATTAATGATTTGTAAAAATCATTAATTGGATCATAATATGGATAATTTATAAAAGTTGGATGCATGAAACACACACTACATGATTGTGTTCCCTTAAAGTTTGCCAATGGCAAATGCTAATTTGTGTTTTAAGAGATAGACAGTTAATACCTATAGAAGAAGTAGTGTATATTTATGATTACAGTAATAATTTTATTATTGCTGGGGGTTGGGAGAATGGGCTTTGATTGGCTTTGAGTTACTGGTGATATTTCATCTCTTCATCTACTTAAGAGCTAGTTAGGCATTTAAAAAATATTTTAGAACATGTTTTAAAATTTTAAAGA